TATATATATATATATATATATATATATATATATATATATATGTAAAAGATTTTATAGGGGCGTCTGGGTGGCTCAGTCGTTAGGCGTCTGCCTTCGGCTCAGGTCATGATCTCAGGGTCCTGGGATCGAGCCCTGCATCAGGCTCCCTGCTCTGCAGGAAGCCTGCTTCTCCCTCTTCTGCTCCCCCTGCTTGTGTTCCCTTTCTCACTGTGTCTCTCTCTACCAAATAAATAAATAAATAATCTTAAAAAAAAGATTTTATATATATTTCCCTGGAAGATCAATGGAGCAAGTAAAGACAGAGCCCAAGACAGTAGAGAAGACAAGAGGACTCACGTGAATGAAGCACCACTATGTTCCGGGAGCTCCTGCCTATGTTCTCTTGGTAAAGCCTCACCCGCCACCCACAGAGGCAGCTTGTGCCCTTTCCCCAGGGTTCAGAGTGTAAGTGACCTGCCCAGGGTCCCACAGCTTGGGAATCAAACCTGCGCCATTTGCCTCCACCGGCCATACTCCCCAAACACCATGCTGTTGGCAAGAAGATGGTTCCCCGGGAGTCGGGGGGGGCATCATTCCCTTCCAGGATCCCAAAGGGAACGCCTCCTCAAGTCCTTCTGTGGAAAGTCACTGAGGTCAGAAACCAAGATGCACTGTTTCTAGTGGCACAAAATGGAAAACCCAACTCAGACTCCCTTCAGCAATAAAGGGAATGAACGTCTTGGTCCGCGCGTGTGGGAAGCCCAGCGGTAGATCTTCACGCGTAGGCTGAGAATGGGCAGCCGCGGAAGCAGAAGACGTCTCCCCCAGAGGGTGCCCGTCCCCCTCCCATCTGAGCACAACCCCCTCAGGCTCTCCACCATGGCCCTGGATGCTTCCGGCTTCCACGTGAACCTAGCAGTTCCTGTGAAAAGAGAAATCCTCTGCTGTAGTTTGAAGGCTTGGGATCGAGACCCCAGGCAATGGCTCGACTCTCTCCTCTCTTGCCTGGACGAATTGAGATGTAACCCAAGTGGTGTTCAAGAGCCACACTGCCTGGGTTCAAATCCCTGCTCCATCACTGACCCGCTGGGTCCCTTGGACAACAACAGTCTTAACCCCTCTGTGCCTCCATTTTTCCACCTATAAAATGGTGATAATAATTGTACTTCCTTCAAAGGCTTGTGGTGATTAATAATTAATGGGTTGCTTTACATTTGGAGGTGCACCTCTTTATCTGGAACCCGGATCTGCCCCACCTGAGCCACAAGGATTAAGAGGCACAGGATGATTCTCCAAAAGGAAATGGATTTGCTGTTAACAAAAGGAAGGAGAATGGCAGGCAGAAAGGCCAGACTAACAGCTGCCTAACAGAGTGGCCTCAGCAAAATGCCACAATGCCTGATTATTTTCTTCCCTGTTGGGTACGAACCTGAGGTCGAAAGCAGCCTTAAACTGGAAAGATAAAAAATATCCTAATTATGTGCAAGAATCAAGTAAAGCAGGTCATTTTGTCCTGCTGCTACAGTTTTCTTTGTGCTTCTACCCCCTGAAAATGAAATCAGTAAAAATCAGGCATTTAAAAATCTACCCTTGACTCATTTACTCATTCAACAGGCATTTAATGAGCACTAGAGATGGGTTTCCCTGAAAGTAACCTGCCTTAAGCTTCAGGGGCTCTCTCTCAGATGGGTCTTTTCCAAAGCCTTCTAGCTAATTTGATATTTGTAACTCTCTATTCTTTTACTTAGAGATGTCATCCTTCAAACTGTGGAAGCTTGAGGCTGCACAAATTTTGGATTTGCCCTCGGTGAGCCCCTGTTAAATTCCAGGCAGAGAGGGATGACGGCTGCAGAGATTAATCCAAACGGGGAGCCTTCCTCGACAGCGCCCTCTCCAGGGGGACACTGGGAATGAGCATGAGGATCCTCTCCCAGGCGAGATACCTGCTGTTCTTTCATTCATCCACTGAACTAACATGTATCGAGCACCTGTTATGTACGAGGCACCAGGGATCCCGGGATGAAAAGTCAGAGGAAGGCTCTTCTCTCAAGGAGCTTATAATCAATCCATCCATCCCCCCAACAACTCAGTACGAAAAACAAATAGGATGAGGCGGTGACAAATGATTAGAGTAATACCCACAATGGTCAGGCAGGCAAGGCTTCTTCGAGCACAGGTGCTGGTTTATGAACATGGAGAAGCTGCAGCTGTGTCAAGTGGGGAGGGAGTCCCAAGCAGAGCAAAGTGCATGCCAAGGCCCTACGAAAGGAATGGCCTCAGTGCTTGCAGAGGGAAGAGCAGAGAAATGGCCAGGACGAACAGGACCAGGGGGAAGGAGTAACAAGAAGAGGTCACAAGTAGAGACAGATGCTAGATCATGTAGGACTCTACAGCCAGGGTGAGAGGGTTGGATGCTGAAACTGGAAGCCCTCAGGGTTTAAGGCAAGGAAGTGACATGATATCAGGAACATTATAAAGAGAGCTCCTTGGCTGCTATGGACAGAGCATATTGTCGGGTGGGAGCAAAGTCCAGCTCAGGGGCTTCCGCTCCTATCCGCGGTTGGCAAACCCTTCCCGAAGTTTGGACAACCTCTTGTTGTAGGTTGTGGGGAAACAGGCCTCTCGGACGTTACTGGTGAGCATGCAAAAGGGCCCAGCTCCTACAGAGGGGAATTTGGCAGTATCTGGCAGAAGTCCGTATGCATTTATCCACTGACTCAAAATCCCACTCCTAAACATCTATCCCCAACATACACTGGCAGAAAGACAAAGGAAGGGTGCACGAGGCTATTCACTGCACCATCAGTCACAATGGCACAAGACTGGGGATCGCCACTACCGGGGCATTAGAAGGAGCTTGGTGAAATTAATACTGTACCTTGTATCCCATCCGTGAGACAGCTGTCCAAGCAAGGTGCAGTCTTACACTCGGCTATGCAGTGATCGCCACGATGTATTATTAAAGAAAACAGCAAGGTGGAGAAAAAAAAAATGTGTCTATTTTGCTGCCATTTACCTAAGAAAGAGCTTGAATATGAACAGATGTTTTTTAATGGGAAGATGAAGCAAAAACAAGAATGACTACCTACCAGGGGTGGGAGGAAACAGTTGAAGGGGGAAGAGATAGAAACTAGATGTCGCTGAACAAATTGTTTCAATTTGACTTCAAAATATTGTGCGATTTTAAATAACATTTTTTTTTAAAACTTAAAATTTTTTAAGACTTGTTTTAGAGAGAGGGAGGGAGAGAATGCCAAGCAAACTCCCCACTGAGCACGGAGGCCGACGCGGGGCTGGATCCCAAGACTCTGAGATCATGACCTGAGCCAAGATCAAGAGTCTGATGCTCGGGGCGCCTGGGTGGCTCAGTCGGTTAAGCATCTGCCTCTTGGTTTGGACTCAGCTCATGATCTCAGGGTCGTGGAATCGAGCCCCACGTTGGGCTCTGCGCTCAGTGGGGAATCTGCTTGAGATTCTCTCTCTCTCCCTCCCTCTGCCCCTCCACCCACTCATGCTCTCCAAATAAAGAAACAAAATTTTTTGGAAAAAAAAAAAAGTCTCACATAAACTCAAGATGTATTTTATCTCCCAAAAAAAAAGCACGCCCCCTAGCACTCAGACTGTGGGCTCTAAGTACCACTCTCCACCAGGAGAAACCAGGGGTCAATGCAGAAATGTCTGATTCTGTGTCTGGGGCCAAGGAGGAGAAGTAGGAAAAGGGAATTATAAAGTAGCTGTCAGTGAACAGGAGAAAAAAACCCAAGAGAGTGAATGACACCAAAACCAAGAGAAGCAAGTGTTCTAAGAAGGTGGGAGTTCAAAATTATCAAGAACAGCGGCAAAATTTAAAAAATTGTTCTGGAAACTACCAACGGAAGAAAAAAATATCACAGCCAGAGGAAACAGATCCAAATCCTGCCATACTCACCTCTAATAGCTCTCATGTACTTCACGTGGTCATGTTTCCTTAGTCTGCGTATCCAAGAAAGGTCCGGCTGCCTTGAGTTTACCCACATTCGCTGATGCTCCTTCAGAGTCTGGGCTGTCTTGTGTCTTGTGGAAGGGCCCCCTCTTTCTGAAAGGTGTATAGCTCTTCAAGAAGGCTTTAATAGGGCGCCTGGGTGGCTCAGTCGTTAAGCGTCTGCCTTCGGCTCAGGTCATGATCCCAGGATCCTGGGATCGAGCCCCGAATCGGGCTCCCTGCTCGGCGGGAAGCCTGCTTCTCCCTCTCCCACTCCCCCCTGCTGGTGTTCCCTCTCTCGCTGTGTCTCTCTCTGTCAAATAAATAACATCTTTTTTAAAAAAGGCTTTAATATATCGATTTTCCCGACATCTTCCCACCCTTCTGCCTGCAATTACGAGATTTCAGTAAACATCCTATGCACAGCTGATTCCACTCCGATTCTCCAGTTAAGAATGGATTCAAGGCACCTGTCTCTTCTCTACACACTGCCCTTGTTAGAGGTGGCCGCCAACTACAAGGCGGGCCTTTCTGGCTTGGTTTAAAGTCAAGGGAAGGTCATCTGGCTGGCCTCCGCCTACCCAAAGAGGAGAGAAAATTCGCCTAGGTTTGGGGCTGTTGGTATAGTTCTAACGCCTTTCTAAAATAACCTTCTTGCTGCTTTATTAATTCCAGTGGGTGTTTCTTAACAGGTGACAGCTTTGCCCTTTAATTGCTGAGGGATTTTAATTTTGCACTGCTGATTGCTGCTCAAAATGATTTACCTTGGTTCATAAACACCTGCATCCCAGGGACTTCTTGTACGGTTAGAAAAGTAAACTTGCAGGCTCTGTGACCCCAACACACGCACACATGCACACGCACTTTCACCTGGGGCAGTATATCCGACATCTCGAGGCTCCTATCACCTTCAGCATTTGGGGGCAATCTCTGTAATTACTTACCTAATACTGTCCTTCAAATCAAATTGCTCTTCTTACCAAAACAAATAACTTTTCCAATAAGATCTTTTATCACTATTAATGGAAAACTGGCATGATTATCCATAATCGGCTGTAAAAATAAGCTGAGCCTGAGGCCTGCTGCATCTTATTTAAATGGGAGATCGGCAGTTCAAGACAGAGGACTCAGCGAGCCGAGACTGTCGGCTCCGAGCCATCACAGGAATGAGAGGGAGCTGAAAAAGGATTTTCCGCCACAAGATTTGCAGTTCTTTAACATCCAGTCTGATGACCACCACCTGGAATGATCCTTCATGCCCCCAGAATGGCACACACCCCCCACTTTGAGAAACACCCATCTTCCTATTTGGGGTGGCTTCTTTCGTTTTGTTCGCTTAATACTCTCTTCAAAGATCAAGCCTTACAGTGGATGACCTGCACTAGCATCTGCTTGGAAAAGCTGGTCATCATATCGCCGAGAAACCAAAATGAAAAAAATATTGATAACAGAAAAAAATTGATCTCACCTGGGTTGTTTTTTTTTCCACTTTTTTAATATGGCCACTAGGAAATTTTAAATTGCATGTGCAGGGGCCCCTGGGTGGCTCAGTCGGTTAAGCGTCTGACTTCAGTTCAGGTCACGATCTCAGGGTCCTGGGATTGAGCCCCACATAGGGCTCCACACTCAGCAGGGAGTCTGCTTGTCCCTCTGCCCCTCCCCCCAGCTCTCTCTCTCGCTTGCTCTCTCTCTCAAGTAAATATATTGCACATGCAGGTTTATCTGTGGCTGATGCTGTAATTTCGCTGGACCATCCAGTGGCTTCTGAAACAATAGCACAATCCCCAAGCTGGGAGTCCACAGGGATGGGAAAGGGAAGAGAGAATTAAGAAAAGTCTTCAGATGTCCCCTTCCTAGTCCCCGCTCCACCCTTCAATCAAGAATCTCAGATGTGCAGGGCACCTTAAATATTACCGAGCTCAGGAATCAGCAAACGGCAGTCCAGAACCCTGTCAAGGCAGGGTGCTTAGTGGACATGCCCCTTGGTTTGGTTTGGTTTTTTTATAAAGTGACTCCCTGTGTGACCATGAGTGACACTGGGAGCCAAAAACCCCAGGTGGAGCAGGAAACAGTTTTATTTGAAAAGAAAAGTGCACCATCCAAACTGGGTACCGTATTAGCTTCTTGTGGCCGCAGCAACAAATTACCAGCAACTGGGCAGTTTCAAATAGAAGAAACTTATACTCTCAAGATTCTGGAGATGAGACATCCAAATCCAGGTGTCGGCAGGGCTGGTTGCCTCTGAGGCTTCTCTCTTAGCGCCTGGTAGCCACCGCATGCTTTGGCCCTTCCTTGGCCTGAGTGTCCATGTCCCAGTCCCATCTCTTTCTCCATCATCATACGGTGGTCTCTTATGCATCCCCCCTCCTCTATGTCTGTGTCTTCTCCCCTCTCAAATCCACCTTTCAGTGGATTTGGAGCCAGGACCAACCAGATAATCCAGAAGGATCTCATCGCAAGATCTTTAATTACGTCTGCAAAGATCCTTTCTCCAAACAAAGCCCCATTCACTTGTTCTGGGGAGGGACATACCTTTTTGGGGGGCTGCCGATCGAGGCATTGCGAGCACCCAACACAGTCACCCCAGCTGGGAACTGCTTTCAGTCCGCAGGAGGAACAGTGGCTGATGGTTATGAAGCGTTTCCCGGGTGCCAGGCACCGTGCAAAGTGATGTCCATTCATTAGCTCGTTTATGCCATTCAGTCTGCTCCAGCTCAGCCCTTGAACGTGTGCCTGTCAGTTCCCTGGGGCCTTAAGTGCCTGCGCACAATGACACGTGAATTAATAAGTGGCGCCATCTGGAAGGCGATGGAAGCAAGCACCCTCCCTCCTCCGCCATCCGTTCTCCTTTGATGATCCATAATTTGATCACTTTAAAGGATGTAAGGTAATAACCCTGCTTCAAAAGGCATCCCTTTTATCTTCTCCAAGGCTCTCATTCGGCTGGGGACAAAGTTTCAGAAATGAACTGTAGTTTATTTCTTTAAAGCTCCTGTAAGGATGTAAGGTGTGCTGTTTGCCCGTGGTGGGGGGTGGAAATACACATTTTCCAAAGTTGTGGATTTTCAACAACACTTGGTGCCAAGTAGAAGTAAAAGTAGCAAAATAATAATAAAAGCAACAAGAAAGGCAGGTGGGCCCTTCCATGCCCCATCCTTCTCAGGCTCTCCTTCTGCAGCCTGGGGCTAAGGGAGACACAGCTGGAGCCCTGAGGGAGCTTACAGCCCACAGGGGAAGGCAGGGGAGTGGAGGAACATTTATTGTGAATGGGGGACCAGAAGCGTGCACCTGCAGCCTACATAGTGGACAGCCTGACAGCGATCTGAGGCCACACAACCAGGGAGAGCCAGCTTGCAGGTGAGAGACCTCAGGGAGAGCCGCCCACACCAATCTGATACTGCCTGAACTAAGAATATCCCTTGGGAACGGCTCTAGGACACAGGAGAGCAAATGCATGTGTGGACCCTCTGTTGTCAGACACAGCCTGGGCTCTTGGCATGTGTCACCCTCAGTTAACCCTTGCAGCAACCCCAGGCGCCCGGTACTATCATTCACAGCTTTTTCCAGCCCGCCCCACAGGCTCCCACGGACAGACCATTTGGGGCAGGCTGCCAAATCTCCCCCCCCCCCCGATGTGTGGTCACCATGAAGAAAAATATTGAAAGTTCTGGTCCTTGAGATTTTCCTTCCCGATGCACATTTCTGGTGCTACAGAAAATATTTTGACATCTGCTCACAGCCAGTTCTAACAGGTACCTTTTCTCTTCCTCCTGCTATATTAAATGTGAAAATTAAACTTGCAGGGAGGGCCGGAAGGACATTCACAGGCGGCAGCCATTCTGCTGGGTGGCCTCAGAGGAGCAACAGTGCCTCTCTCTGCCTCAGTTTCCCCACCTGGTGTAAGGGGGGGCATAATCAGACTGGCGTGGGAATTAAATAACTGCACGTAACAAAGCAGGATTCAGTAAACTTTTTCTGGGCAGAACCAACTCTGCCACTAGAGGAAAAACAGCCACAGAAAATACGTAAATGAATGAGTTTGTCTGTGTTCCAATAAAACTTTGTTTACAAAAGCAAACCAGGGCCAGGGTTTGGCTTATGGGACTGCAGTGTGCTGACAACGGGCCTGCTTCGAATCCCAGTTATGCTTCTTAGAAGCTGTGTGACTTGATGCAAATTACTTAACCTCTCTGATCCTCAGTCTTCTTGTCTGTAAACTAGTGTGAATAATAGAATCTACCTTGTA